TCACGTGACGTAGACGTCACGATCAGCGGAAATTCCCGGCCAGACTGCTGGACGACTGGCCTCGGCGGGTGTGCTGTGCGACCGCCAGCTTCATGGCATCACGAGGTACCGACTAGAAACAACGCACAGCTTATCTCGATTAGTTCTATGAACTCTGTTGGAAGCCGGAAACCAGTGGCGAGGGAATCGTGGCAGTTCATTTTGCCGAAGGTAAGATGTAAAATGACCTTAGCAGATGTAAAATGACGACAGCAGTTTGGCTCTCTGGTGTCACATGGATGTCTGGCCTGACCCAAACTTTTCATTTCACCTACGCGTGATCAGACTTGACGTTTACAACTGCATTGGTTTCGGCAGCATGTTAAGGAGACGTGCCTTCATCCCGCGGCTTCAGCGATGGGAATGTTTTTGTCACGTGCACACCGGAGGACTGCGTACCATTCGGACTGGTCGGAAGATTACAATGGCGATGTTGCGATGCCTCACATGGATAACAGGGGCTTACCTTAATTCCACCTTTAAATCGCATCAACTCCGCATTGATAACGTGAGTACCTCATCGCTACGCCGCTATGACCTTAGCCGGTAATAACGCAGCTGTTGGTCTGAATACAGTCGCAGCCATGCTCTGTGTATAATGTACTGTTCCGCTACACAGACTCCACGGGCTCCAATGGCTGGCAGCAAATCGACAACGATAGTTAATATTTTGTGCTCTGCTGCCAGGCTGACTGTATGCATGGACTGTGATACCCTAGTGGAATGGTTCTCATCATGGTAGCGTAAGGACACAAGCTCAGGCAAATCTAGCATATCCACGTGCTGTGCCCACGATGTCTTGCGGTATGGTAAGTTGTATGGGATGGGAGAGCAGCGGCAAGAGGGGTTAGATTTCGCCATTCCCTAATATCTCTAGAATCACTGGTGTGATTCTAATCCAGGTGGATTCTCAGATCGTGTGCTGCATTTTCAAACAGCTTTCCATTTGAGAAGTGCACGTAAAGAAATATAATCGTTCTGTACGCATCTTTCATCATCCACCGCCACCGTGGGAATAGCTTTTTATAGAACTAATTTTGGCTTATTAAGTACTAAACCCCCGCATGTGCTGTGAGTTATTTTGAAAAATCGGAACACAGAAGCAAAATGACCGCTGCAGCCAAACCGCCCCTGAACTTTAATATCATAATCATCGAAAATCGAACAACATAGTGATCGCTACTCACGGAAGGTCGTTAAGTGTCAGCATCAAGAGACAAATATTTTGTATACAACAAACGAAAAGGGTGAGCAGCAGAAGCTGGATGACATAGAGCTACAATGTAAGCATGCCATCAGGTCCTCATGGTCTTGTTTGGATCGCTGCGCTGAATTTTGTCCATAGCGTTTAGCCGGTGTGTCGGGATGGACAACGGCACCATGGATGCATCTATTTGCGGTACCTGGCTTGTTTTTTGCGTACTTCTCGCCACTAAACAGTTGACCATCAGGGACATAGCCAAGGAGGGGAGGGGAAGATATAGGCCCCCTCTGAACCGAGAGGATTGCGTTAAATGGTGAGTAATTTAGCAAAACTTTGTGCAAATTTGCGGACTTTCACACGAATCTGGACTTCCGTTGAAGAAAGACTTAGGCTACGTGCCCGCTCACCATCATGCACGCAGCTTGAGCTATCCCGTTCAGACGTCCAGCGAATCCAGTTTGTGGCATGGCGGGCGGGATCGCAGAGAACACGAAGCTACTTAGCAGCTATATCTATTCATGCACACATGGGGCTGCACCAGCACGCGCGTCAAACATGCAATCGTTCGTTGGACATTCTTGCTAGATGGTTTCAAGTGTCTTGGGAATTTCCAGTGGCTATTTAGCAGCCAAGCTGGACGCTGTAAATGACTCGGTGGACTTTACACAATCCGCGCAAAGTGGATCACACCAAGCTGATTAGCACCGCTTCTTTATTCGCTGAACAGTCAGTAACACCTACGGGCAATGGCCGGATACGCACGTGACCATTAGGGCCATTGACCTCTCGTTTTAGCAGGACCGTATCACCGTCGAACGATGGCGCAATGTCCCAAATGTCTCGGGTGAAGTAAACCGTCACAGCGTCCCCAGAGCTCCGGAAATGATGCAGCTCAACCCGGTAGTAGCGTGCAAAAATTGCCGGATGACTACATTTTTGGCCATAACGCACTGACGACACGATACGAAGATGCTTAGCAGCTATCTCCATTCATGTACACATGAGGCGTGCACCAGCATGCGCATAAGACATGCTATCGCTGGCTGGACATTCTCGCTAGATGGTTTGCAATTGTCTGTGGAAATTCCAGTGGCTATTCACCAACGAAGCTGAACGCTGTAAATGACCAGGTGGATTTTGCCCAGCCCACACACCGTGTGCGCCGATAAGCCGAATGGCTCGTTTTTTATTTGATGAACAGTCAGCAGCACGTATGGGCTGGGGCCGAATGTGCACGTGACCATGCAGGCCATTGACCTTTCGTTTTACATGACCACATCACCGGGGAACGATAATGCAATTGTCTCAGGTGCCGGAAATCGTCATGACGTCACAAAACTTCCGAAAATGATACAGCACAGCCCAGCAGTAACGCACAACATTGCCGGATGGCGGGAAAATAAAATAAAATAAAAAAGACAAAAATTGACCATGTCTGGACAAAAATGTACTACAGTAAGTACGTTGATAAATCCAGAGTGCTTGGTAGTTTGTTGATGGCAATAGTTCACGTATTGGCAACATCACCCCACTAAGAAACCAAGATGGGAACAATGGCTCGTTTGTGTGCAAATATGTTTTCCTTATAACGCTGTACGTTCAAGCATTGCCATTGCTTTTCCCAAGTAAGCTATGGGATGAAATCAAGGAAAGCACATCAGCGCTACCGATAGCAAAATTAGAACTCACAGTTTGGTTCCCTTTCCTCTTCAACCTCGTTTACCCAATGAATTGCAATGTGACTAACGCGGACATAAAGGCTACCAGCTCAGAAGTGAAGCAGCGTGTCCCCATATTGGACAACATTAAACAGCTGCTTCTTTCTATGGGGTGGGGCTCTGCGTTTTCCGAACCAACTCTTGTGAAGAGGACACATACTTCAAATGTGTCACTCATAAATAAGCCGCCAAAAGTGCCCCTCGTGCTATCTCAGCGTCGCACAGAGCCACACGTTAACGCCGAAGAACACAAGGATCACGTCGCGGCACTCCCTGCTAAAACTTATAGACATTCGTAAAAGGCGTAAAAAGCTGAACAGGATACGGCATTCGCACATAACATGACAACAGGCTGAGCACAGTCACTGGCTAAGTGAGCAATGACTGTCCACAGAAGGTGCGTTCGTATTCGTTACAAGCTCATAAGGCGCACACACAGGGGTCGACGGTGCCGACCTCAACTGCGCAGATCCTTCCTTGGGTTTTTATCGTCTCCGATGAGCTGATCCAGCCAGGTGGAGCTTGCTGGACTCAGGGAGACAGCGCCAGGGAGGCACGGGTGACATGCATCTTAAATTCCTAATAATCAAGAGTAATGAGGTCTGACCATAACGAGTTATGGTTATGTATGGGATTGAGTGAGACTACTGGTTATGCAGCAAACATGATTTTTCATCTGATTTCATTATAGATAACTTTGAACTAACACTAATGTTATAACGCACCTTGCGTCATACTTCTGGTATGCAGCTGTGTTTCGATGGGTGTGGTATGTACTAAACGCATCTAACACAGTTAAGCATGTCTATCTTTCTGTGATTAAAAGGCTTTAATTTCAACAGGTCCCATAACAGCAAGGTAGGATCAGCAGGGACTGTAAAGATTCTTGTAAGCCAACAGAAAAGATTGACACTTTGTTCAACTAAAAACATTGGGCATCACGATATCTTTAAAGTGACAGCCTAAAGTGACAGAGTCCCTAAAGTATAGTCCTGAAATTCTCCTGGCACTACAACTCGGCACGCGAAGAACACTATCAGGATTTTAGATAGTTCATGCCCTATACAAAGCAACAAAAATTATCACGCCGAACAGACGCACGCGATGCATGATGCATTTTTAGCTCTATGACGCACTCAAGATTGCAAGCCCGCAACATCTGTCAGCGCGCTGTTGTCAGAGCTGTGTCGTCTCGCTGAACAGGAACCAAGATTAGTAGGTCCAGTCCTAATCCAGTCACCTCTCTAGAACCCCAAAGTGACATAAATTTTGCATTGCTCTAGACTGATATGTTATCGAAGATAAAGGCCAAGATGGCCAATGATAGCTGGGTTGTACAGGTCCAGCATCGATCAACGGCTTAAGATAGTTGAGGTTTCCGGCCAACATTGCAAGTGTAAGAGAAAAGGATAGTAAGCTCAGAGATACGACCGTAAAAAACGGTACTCCTGTACGCGTCGGCTTATTTACCATAAGTACAGAGTGAAGTACTTCGATTCGCGGTGAGTTCGAGAGCAGCGTAAGCACCCCACGCCGTAGAAGACGTGAATCAGTGCGCATGAAGTCATTACCGGAAACTTACCACCATCGTTGAACTTCCACCAGCTTGCTCTACCTCTTTCTGGAAAAGCTCAGTTTTTATGAGGATATCTCTTACGATCCCTGACTCTAATCAATTTTCTCAGCTGTATCTTACTTATGTACACATGATGACAAATATGGCGTCAAGATACGTTACCAAACGTCATTTTACATCTTACGTTCGGCAAAACGAACTGCTACGATTCCCTCGCCATTGGCTTCCGGCTTCCAACGGAGCTCATAGAACTAATCGAGATAAGCTGTGCATTGTTTCTGGTGGGTACCTCGTGATGCCATGAAGCTGGCGGTCGCACAGCACGCCCGCCGAGGCCAGCCGGCCAGCAGTCTGGACGGGGAATTTCCGCTGATCGTGACGTCTACGTCACGTGACCAAACACGGTTCCGTTGATAAGCGGCGACGCTCGAGTGAGCGGCATAGTTTGCAACGGAAGCCAGAAATGTGTGGAGTACTACAGGTGTGCACAGTGCTGCTGCTGGCGGTGAGTTCGGCGCTGGGGGCCGACCTGGCCTGGCAGCGCATCAGTCTGGAGCAGCGGCAGACGACGCTGCTGCCAGGCTTGGCCGACCATCCGGCACTGGGCCGACTCGACCTGCGCTTCTGCGGCAGCGGCTCCGAGTCACAGCTCAGTCGCGGCCCACTCGGCTGTGGCTTCCCCGTCGTGGGTGACCATCCGTGGCTGGTGGCGCTCGGCTTCACAGGACCCGACGGCCGCGTCGTCTTCTCGTGCTCGGGCGCGCTCATCAGCGACCAGCACGTGGTCACGTCGGCCCGCTGCGCGCTCGGTACCCGTGGCTACATGCTCAGCACGGTCAGATTGGGCGAGTACGACTTTAGCAGCCGGCGAGACTGTCTCTGGTACGACCCGACCGTGTGCACCGAGGCCACGGACGTGGCTGTCCACTCGCTCACCGTGCACCCCGACTTTGTCAAGCACGGCGGCGACCCGAGCCGCTTCGACATGGCCCTGGTGCAGCTGTCGAAGCCGGTGACGCTGGGTCACGGCGTGCAGCCCATCTGTCTGCCTATGTTCCCACTGCGCCACCAGCCGCATCGTCTGTATTCGCTGACGATGGGCCTGCACAGCGGGCCGCAGCCGGAGGCCGACGGTGCTGCCACCTGCTGCGAGTGTAGCCGCCAGCGGAGCACCACCACACACGTGATGGACGAAGAGAGGCTAGCGTTGTTCAACACCAGCTACGATGGCCCGGGGCCGTGCCAGTACCGGCTGCTGTCGGAGGCAGACGGCGAGCCAAACCGCTGTCTAGGCTCTGGCACGCCGTGCGTGGCCGACCTGGGCGCGCCCCTGGTGGCCCCCGACCAGTTCGGCTCGGCCTACTTCCTGATGGGTGTGGCCAGCATGCGACCAGCACAGAGGGAGTGCCACCGACCGGGCGTGTCGGTGTCGTACGCGCCCGTGCGGCCGCACGTCAGCTGGATCCTGGACAGCCTGGCCCTGCTGGCCTCTATTTGAGTGGACAGAGCATGCGAGGGTAGAGAAAAGGGCGCCAGCTGGCGGTCATTCCGAGTCAAACAGAGTGGTGCTTTCGCTATCATTACTACCCAGGACGTGCCAAAGATTAAATGTTAGTTTGTATTACGTCATTATTATGTCATTGATTTACCGTTGCTCACAACCTGTGTATTTTGCTGTTTGTCGTCGGTGATATGCATTTATTTTCATCGAAGTGGTGGTGACGATAATTCCCGTCTGCGCGCTATGTCGCTTGTAATACAACTGCATGTGACGATTTTTGTTGCATTCACTGGACCATTTTATCGGTTAGTCGAACACTGCTATCTTATATACAGCAGTGTTGATAGCAGCTAGATATTACTTAATCGGGCTCGGAAAGCTCTCGCCTTCACTAAGCAGCCCGTTTTCTGGATCACAGGAACACCCCTTTTAATTCGTCAGCCCATAGTATAGATCAGGGCGCCCAACATCAGATTCGTCACCCTCTATTCGTGATCGGACGTGACATTGTGTACAACTGGAGTGTTTTCTGCAGCATTTTGAGTGGAAGTGCTTCCATCGCGCGGCTTCCTTAATGAGACTCTTTTGATTGGCTGATCAACTAAGGACTGCGTTGGACTGAGACTGGTTGAAAAAGTTGCGCTGTCCCACTCGATCGTTGTGGGGCCCTCTACATTGTGTAGTGGATATTTCTCAGTTGAGTGGAGGGCCCCATGCTCTTGTCGGTGGCTCCCATCTGCTATCTTGCTTGGGCACACTCGATCGTTCGGGGCACTCCACAAAGTGCCTTGGGTACTTTCTATTTGAATTGATGGCCCTACGCACTTGTTGGGGGCCATCTGTACACCTCCCCGGGCAGACTAGACTGTTCGAGGGCCCTGCGCATTCGGCCTTGGTATTTGAATGTAAGGCTATACGCCCCTGTCAGGGGTCATCTGATAGACTGCATGGGTACACTCAATCTTTCGGGGGCATTTCACACCGCGTCTTGGGTACTTCGTATTTGAATGGAGGGCCTGGCACTCCTATCGGGGGCCCTAACTGTTCATCTGCTCAGGCACACTTGGTCTTTCCGGGGCACTGCACATTAGGTCTCGGGCACTTCCTATTTGAATGGACGGCCGCCGCCTTTGTCTGGGTTACTATCTGTTAACCTGCTCTGGCCCACTTGATCGTTTAAGGGCCCCCTACACTATGTCGTGGCTAGTGGTCATGTGCATGTACCAAAACATGACTCCCCGCATGCTTTTCGCCACTATTTCCCGGCACAGCGTGGTTAGTGAGTGGAGGCATAATCGCACAGAACTATTCGCCAAAACATGACTCTGCATGACTCTCGTTTCTATTTCCAGTACAGAGTGAGCACTTTGGAAGTGGTGTCAAGATCGGCGCAAAACTCGTTCGAAACATAGCGTTGCTATAGTAACACTCAGTCCACGCCGGCATGTCAGTGGCAGGTGTTTCCTGGAGGCGAGAGCAGCGCGCAGCCCCGCGCGGTGCTTATTAAGACTTGAATATTTGCGTTTCCGTTGGTTACAGCTACCTTGCATGCCAAATTTGCTCGGAAAAGCTACCCTTTCTTCTCTCCGTCCCTAAACATATATTACGTTATCAAACGATTAGTTCGGTGTAAAATCGGTAAACCTAACCCAAGTTACATCGCCCCCATTGAGCGGAACGTTGGTGTCAATGCATGAAGTTAGGCTCACGCAGTCGGGCTCGCCGTTCTCGCTGTCCCCGCTCCTGTCGGCGCCGGCTTACGTGCGAAGGTCGCACCCAGAATCTTGGTGGAGCAGCGGTGACACAGGGTCTTATGAAAGGCCCCTAGTGAAAAAGTCCTTAAGTTTTGAGTGGGCCCCACTGTTTTTTCCTTTCATTTTTTTCAGTTATTCTCATGGACGTGTTCATGAGCGGGCCAGTCCCTCCCCCTCACTTCCTCGACACGCAGGCACATGACAACGCCGGATTGGGACCGGGTTGGTGCGGCTGCCAAATTCACTCATAGTGATGGATAATAACGCAAAGAATTGATTTGCTGCACTCTTGGTTGCACCGGACATACGCAGAGTTGGGGATTATTAATCCATCAACACTGTCACTGATTTGCTCCCCCTGAGCGTTGCGTTCTGCGAACTTGTTTATCCTTCCACTTCCTCTGAGAACTTGCTTGGTTTGCCCCGGGAGATACTTGCAAGCCTCCTTCTTCTGTGAGCTTCGTATCCACAATCCACTTTCGCTACTGGCATTGCCTTAAGCATACGATCAGCTTTTCTACAATGGGGTAGGCCATCGTTGATTTGTAGGTGTGATTTGTACTATTAATCTTACAAATGCACCGCAGCTGGAAAATCAGCTGGCATTTATGGAACATGCCAAGGTACAGTTGTAGTAATTCTCGAAAGATTTGTAGGTTTTGGTGTGTGGATTTGTAAATTTGTTATTTGCAGTTGTTGTTTGTATCTTTCTGCTTTATGAAACACATTTTTACAAATACACCTACAAATTTACAAACTAAAATGCAAATGTACAACAAACTGCCTTTATGAGAAAGGCCACAGGTGCGTTTAGTCACACCGCCGCAATGGGAAACCATGTGCGGTTTAGAGAGCACAGAGTGGATGGACAGATGTCCATGTCCTGATCAGTGACCACCACTACCCAAATGGGAAGGTGAGCACAGCGGAGCCGCTACACGCAGACTTTCGCGAAGTGTTCTGAGAGGCGCCAAGTCTTGATCTCTCGCTTACAGACGCCACGAAACTGAATGCACTTGGAATAGTTATGCTGGTACTGGAATTTTGTCTCTTATTTGCAAATGTTTACAATGATGTGACTGATATCAGGGGCGCCGTCACAGATTCCAAATTCGAGGAAGGAATTTCCCAAGGGGTCTTCTGGGCAAAATGGGACCTTCTCCCCGCACAACAGCCCCGTGGGTTGTAGGGGGGGGGGGGGGGCATAGAGAGCAGCCGCTCTTTCATTCGTTCGTTCAATGCATCACATCCAGGATAAACGATAATAACGATAACAAAATCCACGATAGGGACATTCTGGTTACCTGTCAAAAGAAACTTCTTATTCCATAGCAGGCCGAGCTGATCTAGAGGAAACCTCTTATCCGGAAGAGGGTCCTTCCTTTTTACCAACATTCTTGCCATATTTGTCATTCCTCGACATCTTGCAAAGGGCCTCATTATCCCAAATCAAGTCATCCTGGCACGAAACCGCCTCCCTAACACACAGCTGGTTCTCCTGAGGTGTAGCGTGGCTGGCCAATTAATAAAAGTGGTGTCGTGATCCCGAAAACAGGTCTCTTGATGAAAAATGCATTTTCTCATTCCGATTTAGTACTATCTAGCTATGGAGAGTTTCTGAATCAGCTGTGGAATATCAGCTATGGAGGTTTCCTGGATCTGAGCTTTGCTCATTTATGGGTATCTGCAAGCCCTTCAGCCTGAACAAAACGACTTTTCAAAAGTAGAGGGGCCACAAACGTACTTTCGTCCCCTGGCGTCGCATTCGAGGGAGATGCGGGGTGGGGGGGGGGGGGGGGGGGGGGGGAGGGAGTGAGGGCAGTGCCCTCATATTTAATCTTAACGCGCATCATATTTATCTTACAGAATGTCGACAATCACAAAGTCGAGAACAGGAGCATGCTGGATGGCTACCAAAACGACCTCCTTATTCCATAACAGGGTCTTCTGATAAGAAGATTGTCCTCCTGACTTCCCTCCGATTTGCAAATGGGCCCCAAATCTAGTAAAGGGCTTTGTATTGCCAAAATAGGGCATCCTGATCCGGAACCACAGCCATTGATGGCTGCCAGTGGCTTACCGTTCCAGAAACGAGGCCTTCTGAATGCAGAAAATGATGGATGGAAGCATGCCGCCCAGCTCGCAACGGGGGCCTCCTTAGCATAAAATTCAGCCTGTTCATCTGGACTGTGGGATTTTCAAGTCATAAAGGTGGTCTCGTGATCAACGGACTGGCCATTCATGTAGAAAATATTTTTCTGACACCGATTTAGTACTTTCATCCTCATTTATGATGTTTCATTGATCTGGACTTTTCTCATTTACGGATAGCAACAAGCCTTTAAGTTTGGGCAAAAGACACTCCCAAAAATGTGAGGAGGCACTAAAGCAGTTCCGTCTTCTTACTGCCGGCAGGAAAGCGGGCATATACCTATCTGTACCCACCACCCCTCCAACTGCCGCGTCGTCCCCCCCCCCCCCCCGACCGAGATCATGCATGCACGCATCTTGTTTAACTCCATACGATAGCAGTGCTGGACAAACCGCTGGTGTAATGCGATACATGCAACATGAATTCGTCGCACGCAGATTTATTACAAAAGACATGGAGCGATGACATGATGATGATGAGTACATGGAATTATCATGATCAGCACTTTGATAAAAGTTAGTGCATATCACTGACCACAACAAACAAAAGATACTGGTCTCGAGCAGCGGTAAATAAATAACACCATAAATAACACAAAAAACATCTTTGGCACGTTATGGGTGGCAATGCTAAAGAGACCAGTCGCTTTGTTTGACTCGTAGTAGCCGCCGGCTGACTGCTCTCCCCTCACTCGCCCGGTCCACTCAGCATGGCCAGACTATCCAGGATCCAGCGGACGTGCGGCCGCACGGGCGCGTACGACACCGACACGCCCGGCCGGCGGCACTCTTTCTGCGCCGGCCGCACGCTGGCCACGCCCATCAGGAAGTAGGCCGAGCCGAACTGGTCGGAGGCCACCAGGGGCGCGCCCAGGTCGGCCACGCACGGCGTGCCAGAGCCTAGACAGTGGTTTGGTTCGCCATCCGCCTCCGACAGCAGCCGGTACTGGCACGGCCCCGGGCCATCGTAGCTGGTGTTGAACAAGGCTAGCTTCTCTTCGTCCATCACATGCGTGGTGTTGCTGCGCTGGCGGCTGCACTCGCAGCAGGTGGCAGCACCGTCGGCCGCCGGCTGCCGCCCGTTGTGCAGGC